AGGGATTGCATTGGGAGTTATACCTGATGTAAATGACGAGTTGATGGGTGCTGACGAGTTGATGGGTGCAGCACACCAACAGGGCACAAGTATATATATGTAACAAACCTGCATGTTATGCACATGTACCCTAGAACTTAAAAGTATAATAATAATAATAATAGTAATAAATAAAATAGTGAAAAACAAACTCCATTCATAACAACAAAACCTATAAAAACAGAAATAAACTTAATGTGAAGAAAATATGTTCGACAATCCCAGAAGTCATAACAATCCTGTATAGAAAAAGAATTTCCCTATTAGATATTTTTAAAATACTATAAAATTCAAGCACTCTGTTAATTGCAGAAGATGAGTAGGTCAAAAGAACAGCATGGAGAATTCAAAAACTCCATCATATGTAGAAATTTAACAGTATAAATGTGGCATCTTAATAAGGAAAGGATTAATTTTTCAACAAAGGATATTTGGATAGTTAGCTATCCAAAAAATACAAAACAAATGCATATAGCATAGAGGTGGCCATATTAAAACATAAAGCTATAAAGTAATGTAGGAGAATAGTTTTAGAATCTCGGGGTGGGAAAGGACTTTCTGAGTAAGACAAAGAACTCAGAAACAATAAGGAAAATAGGTTACTTTTGAGCCCACAAGTCAACAGAAATAACTATAAAAAAACTTTAAATTGTGATTGAGCCAAAAGCACCAAAGAGAAATTTAAATACAATAGATAACTGGGAAGAAAAATTTGTAAATATTTTTAAATAAACATAATATATACAGAGCATCTAAAAATCAATAAGGAAAAATTAATCCACTCAAAAAAGCCCAAAGGATACGAGGAAGCTATTACAGAAAATTAATTTAAATGTTTTATAGTAGAGGAATAGCTAAATAAGCTAATACTATGCAACCATTAAAAAGAAATAGATTTATATACACTGCCATGGGAAGATTTACAGTCTGTCTTGCTCAGTAAACAAACACATGAATGAATAATATTTATAGTACAGTGTCATTTACATAAAACACCCAAGATAAATAGGGAGATAGACCATGAATCAATGACATGTTGATAGATAGATAGACAGGCATAATAAACTATGGAAATTGAGTGAAGAATTGCTTAGGATGAACATGCTGATACACTACTTTTGTAGCTAACTGTATAACTCGGTGTCAATATAAAAACAGATATTTTGTTACATTGTAGCCAATATTTCATTGCACTAATCATATTTTCCTTTTAAACTACCCTAATAGCACATCCCTCCAACCTTAGAATCTCTAACTCGCTCCACACTGCTCTGCCTGTCCGCCATTGGGATGATTTCTTATGCTACTCCTGTGTTCCTGGTTGCTCTCCTGCCCCTTGGTGTCGCCTTTTATTTTATCCAGAAATACTTTCGGGTTGCCTCTAAGTAAGTAAAACAGCGTCCCATTCATTCTCAAAAGCTTATCTACGGTCAGCCTTCTCTGTTCATGGGTTCTGCCAACAACAGATCAAACATATTTGGAAAGAAAACATTCCATGAAGTTCCAAAAATCAAAACTTGAATTTGTCACGTGCCGAGTACTACATTGAATACACACTGATGAAGCGATGTGTGATGTGTTGCCACTGAATTAAATAGAATGAGTAACATAGAGATGATTTAAAGTATATGGGATGATGTATGTAGGTTATATGCAAATGTCACCCATTTTATATAAGAGACTTGAGCGTCTGCAGATTTTGGTATCCATGGGAGGTTCTGGAATTATTTCCCCATTTGGACGATTGTATTCGATTTACTGTGATCTACATTTGCTGTAGTGTTTTTCAAGATAAGATGTGGAATTTAGAAATGCAACCTATTTGTAACATGATGAAATCTATCCTGACATTATGATTCATTTAGGTATCAATTAATATTATAATTATACCTATAATTGGTTGTCTGGGCCTTACCTAGCCCTGGACATATATTAACATGTGGATTGACCTATTGAGTTTTGAGTCCTAAGACTGCCAAATTTTTCATTCCATGGTCCTTTTTCTGAACATGACATTGATAGAAAACAAAAAATCAAACCTAGGCCAGGCGTGGTGGCCCATGCTGTAATCCCAGCACTTTGGGAGGCCAAGGCAGGCGGATCATGAGGTCAGGAGTTCGAGACCAGCCTGACCAACATGGTGAAACCCTATCTCTACTAAAAATACAAAAATTAGCCGGGCGTGGTGGCACCTGCCTGTAATCCCAGCTATTCAGAAGGCTGAAGAAGTAGAATCGCTTGAGCCCGGTTGGCAGAGCTTGCAGTGAGCCGAGATCATGATACTGCACTCTAGCCTGGACAACAGAGTGAGACTCTGTCTCAAAAAAAAAGAAAAAAAAAACACAAACATAATCCCAAAGAGTAAGTGATTTAATATTATTATACTCTACAAATGGGAAAAAATTATTTGCTTAGAATTTGTCATTTACTGAGATGTTGAATAAATGAAATATAATACCAGCTGTTTCAAAATTTCCAGTTTAACTTTGAAACCCCGCTATAAATAGTAACGTTTGTTATTTCAACAAATACTAAGCACTCATTGTGTCGCAAATAGCTGTGTTAAGCCATGTGACAGGTGAAGAGCAATATGACAAGGACCTGTTCTCAAGAAATATATAGTCTCTTAGGAAGATAAAACATATACAAAGTAATCCTAATATGTGGATTAAGTGCTAAAATAAGAAGGCAGGTATTGAGTTTATTCAGGAAATTGAAAATGTTAATACGACTTGAGTGCAGGGAAGGTGAAATAAAATAGGTGGAGATAAGAAGAAAAGAAGAATTGTAGTTGGAACCTCTGAATGTAACTTTTCATAATTTGAAGAAATAGTTGTTTCTCCCTCTTAGCTATGAATTAGGGTCCTTGAAATGTCAGGGATCCATATTTAGTCTGTTTTTTCATCCCTAGACTCATTGTCTTTGCTTGAAGCAAATTCTGACCACAACAGAGAAGCTAGTAATCAAATTCACATTTCATTTCTTCTGATACTATTGCTGGTCTACATGCTGGTGGGCCAAAGAAGTTCAGAGTTATTTCATTACTGCTGACAGTTTCCAAATCTGTCCTTGCCTTCTCAACACTGATATCAGTCATGTCTTTCTTTAATTACATACTCATTTGGTCCTATTATTGCCCTTTAGCAATACAAATGGAGTGCAAAGTTTAGGAAAATATTCCTAGTCCATTACAAATTTGAATTGTGAATTCTGTTCAGCATCAGTGAGAATAATCTGTTAGAGACTAAAGTATGGAGAGGACGGTTATTTTAAAGAATAAATATTGACAATGGATTTTACACTATTCTTGTTTGAAATTATCAGAAAGTTAGCAAATATAACCATATGATATTAAACCTCACAGACAAGGATCCTTCTAGATGTTGAGGTTCTTTAGAACTCATCCATGTTGAAAAGTTCAGGCAGCTTAACATGACATTTTTGAATACACTAAAGAGAACTTAAGTGGGGAACTAGCTACAGGAAATGCTCTGAAAAAATGAATATCTAAAATCATGGGTCGAATGCATGCTTAGCTTTGTAAGTAACTGTTTCCTTCTTGCAAGAATACAAGATCAAGCTGTGCCCTCACCTCTTTGGTTTTATCAAACAGAGTTTTATAAACAAAGCTTCCTCCTTCCACAGTATTTTTCCTTCACTCCAAACCTCAATGTAGTGACCACCTGTTGCTTGTGTCAGATTTACAAATAGCCATTTGGTTTTATGTTTAAAAATAACAGACTCTTCACATTCCTTCATATTCCTTCTCCCACTTCCTTCTATCTTTCTCTCCCCAAATCCCCATGTGAAAATTCTGAATGAGGGAATCCATTTTAGAAACTCCACTTCGAAAAGACTTGCGTTTGTTTTGGGAACCAGACTACATTGGCAGCCAGGAATGGCCTAAGTAAGATTATGGGACCATGTTCATCCATTCAGTTGACCCTCACAGGTGAATGCCAACACTACTTCTCTAATATTCTCAACCCCAAAAACCTAGAGAAGGGCAGGAAAAAAGGTCTGAAAAGTAAAAAATGGAATGCATTGAAACATGTGGTATAACTGTTAGCCTATCTTCTGTAAATTCTAGCTCATATGGTTTAAAGAAAAGTTGTCATGAATATATCTCTATCAAAAGGGTCAGATTCAGGCATTTCCATTCATTCAGTGTATGTCTGTGTTTTATGTACCTGTGGTTCCTTAGAGAAACTGTGAATGGAAGTTCTATGAAGGCAAGGATTCAAACTCACTGTGCGCAAAACTAAACTCATTATCTTTTCCCTCCAAATGTCTTCTTTCTGTGCCCTTGACCACCACTCTGGGAAACAGCACTGTCATTTTTCAAGTCTGCTAAACTACAAATAGCCAAGCTATATGTGACTCTTGTTTACCCAGTGAAAACTAATCGATCATTACAGCAAATAGGGCTTCTTCTGACTGTCTCACATTCCCCTACTTCTTATTTTAAACTTGACCAGCATCATACTAACACTGAACTTTTTAAAAAATACTCTTGTATGGACTATATTAACTGATCCTCCTCATTCACCCATTCTTTTTCATCCTGTACATTGTCTCCCAAGTTATGTTGATTAAAGGATTAAAGGACAGTTCCAATTACCTTCTTTCTTTTTTTTGAGACAGCGCCATGCTTTGTCACCCAGGCTGGTGTGCAGTGGAGTGATCTTGGCTCACTTCAACCTCTGCCTCCTGGGTTCAAGTGATTCTCCTGCCTCAGCCTCCTGAGTAGTGGGATTACCGGTGTGCACCACCATGCCTGGCTAATTTTTTGGTAGAGAGAGGTTGTGCCATGTTGGCCAGGCTGGTCTCAAACTCCTGGCCTCAAGTGATCCACCTGCCTCAGCCTCTCTAAGTGCTGGGATTACAGGTGTGAGCCACCGCGCCTGGCCAGATTACCTTATTTCTAGTCTTCAGTGATTTTTTTCAGCCCACTAAGGATATTTCTACCATCCACTGTCACCCTTACAAGACCGTATCCTTTACATAGCCTCTTCCCACTACAACAGCCCTAAAGGACTCTGGGCACCAGAGAGATTGAACTTGCAAGATTCTTCAGACACCAGTGCTTGTTCTTGTTATTTTTCTTCTTGTCTATTTTGTTGAAGCCCTCATCAAGCTTAAGGTCTGGTGTAAATTCTACCTGCTTAAGGAAAATCCCACCGGTGTCCTAGGTATAAATTAAGTACTCATTCCACTAAGTCCTGTAGCAGTTTACTTTGGCTGTTACACAGAGCTGATAGTTTTGTACAACACATTATGTTCAGCCTCTACCTGTATTCATTCTATACCCATCTTTCTCTTCCTCTTTAGATTGTAAGCTGTTGAAGTTTTTGTTAATTGAGGGTTAGGGGAAAATAATTTCAATGATGAAAACAAATACAGTGACAAAATAACCTTCTCTTAAATAATAAACATGGCAGTTTTTGAGTCTGGATGCACGTGAAGTTTATTTTTGCCCCTGTCTCTACTAGGGACCTCCAGGAACTTGATGATAGTACCCAGCTCCCCCTGCTCTGTCACTTCTCAGAAACAGCAGAAGGACTCACCACCATTCGGGCCTTTAGGTGAGTAAACACATTTTTATATTAGCTGACTAGGCAATTACATCATCAACAAATATTTTTCTACAAGTAACTGATCATTGCTTTCATTTTGTTTGATCTCCCCATTGTGTGCCTGACAGTGTACTAAACCAGAAATAAGAAAAATGTGATGTCAATGATCAGAGTTAGAGTTTACTCCTCCAGAATGCTAACTATAATAAAAGATGAAGCAACAGATTGGAAAAATACTAGCTGTGTGACTAGGATGAGGCATCTGAATTCCCTAACCTTGGTTTCCTCATCTATTAAATGGAGAAAGTCAGTTTCGCTTCTTATGGTCATTGGACTAATTGATATTATCCCTGCAAAGCATTAACCACATTGACTATTGAAGAAGCATCCAATAAACAAGTTAAAATAAATGTATAAATAATAATAGTAATAATAATTCTCACAAAAGGAATACTATTGCACCAAAGTTGTTTTAGAATTTAATCCTTTTTATTCAAGGTTTGTAAACAGAGTAATAACCTAAACTTTTGATCAAGAGTGTTTACTTTCAAAAAATTACCTATCCCAATTTTCCTGTTCAAGTCAGATTAGCAAGGAGGTGGTATTACTGAATATTTCATTTAATCTAGAAAATTGATTTTTTAGTGTTATATCTTTCTGAAATCCTAATTGCAAATATATATAAATTTTAACCAGAGATTTTTCTAACCTAAGAAATTTATTTTTAAATATAGAATTGGGTCACAGAGTAGAATATAAAGAGACAACTATCCACAACATTATGTTCCACAGCATATGTACCTAATCTATGTAGGTGGCATCATGAAGCATTCACGCTTTCTGCACTGGTATGTTTTTTCATCATAATGTGCAATCCCTTTTATTGGAGATGTCAAAATTATTTATTGGCATTGAATGTAGATAATAACATGAAGTTTATATTCTAATAACCAGCAATGATCAGTGGTATTAATAAGTACACCATACTAAAGATGACTTTTTGCACCAAATAAGTCCTTTCAATTCAATTTATTTGAGAAATAGCTGAGTCCTGAACATATGCCAGGTACTATTCTTGCTGTCAACATATAAAGACTAAAAAGACACGGCCTTTCATTGCCAACCAGCAAAAAGTGGCACTGTTGCCCTCCTTCCCCACATCCTCTCAACATACACCTGCCATGTTATCCTTTTTATTTCCTTTGTGATATTTATCTGAGTATTTTAAATCATCTTTTTTATTTGTTTACAAGTTATCTGTCCTTTCCAAGTGGAATGTAAGCCCTATCAGATCCTCCCCGCTTTTTCGTTCTTTCTTTTTTATTATTTTTTGTTTGTTTTTTGTTTGTTTGTTTGTTTTGCTGTTGTAGCATCATTAGCTGGGAAAAGTGCCTGGGGCTAAGTAAGTGCTCAATAAATATATATTGACTAAGTAGCTAGCATGGGCTGTGTTAAGGAGCTCACAGCCTAGTAGGAGAGACGGTTTAAGAAAAAAATAGCAACACAGCATTATACATAGTCTAATATCACAAGAAACAACTCTGTCAGAGAGTAGGGTAGCACTCTGTCTAGAAGGAATGGAGAGATAATTATTGACCACAAATCTCTGAATGATGAATAATTGACCTGGCAGATACAGGAGATAGAATATTCAAAGACGATGTAACAGATGTGTGAAAACATAAAGATTTCTATTTTATACAGAAATCAAAAGAGTCCAGTGTTGTTGGAACATAGATTAAGTACAGAGAAGGTGGCTATGAGGATAAGGCTTGAAACCATAGTAGAGGCCAGTACATAAAGGGCTTTGATAAGTACCTTTAAATAACTTAGACTGGATTTTTTCAATGTGAGGTAGTCACTGAAGAATCTTCAACAGGAAAGTGGTATGATCAGAGTTGTGTTCATCACAATAACTCTGGGATACTATTATGAACTAGGGATGGTTAACGCCCAAGGCAAAGAGACTCCAGGAGGCTGTTGCAATGGTCCACATGAGAGATTACAAAGGCAGGCTAAGGAACTAAGGACTGGGAGAGAAAGCACAGATTTAAGGAATATTTAGGAAGTGGGACCAATGAGATTTAGGGGCAAATTGAATGTGAAGAATAAGGTTGAGGGAGAAGTTGAAGATGATTCCTTCTAAGTTTCTGATTCCAATGAGTAGGTAGTTTTCCAGGTTAGGAAATTGAAGATGATGTGGAGGATTGGAGAAGGAGTTCATGAGTCTGGTTATGAACAGGTGTAGGTAGCAATGAGATATCCAGCTGGATATTTTTTATGGTCATTTTGGTATACAGGTCTGGTGTCTAAGATATATCTAAAGGCAGAAGATAACAGGTTTGAGTATCATTCTTTTATGGATAATAGTTAAAGTTTTGACCATGGATTTGATTGCTGAGGGAGAGGGTGTAGATTAAGAAAAGAGGAGCTTGCACAAAAATTTCAGACTACCAGCACTTAAAGAACAAGTAGATAAAAAAGATCCTGTGGAAAATAGGATCTGCCAATTGCTGCCTCATTAAACAAAGCTGGTCCTCTTAGGTTAAGAGGAAGATAGGTTATGTTACTTGTATCTCCCAATATCCTTTTATATTTGGCTAACCAGTGCTTATCTCACTGCTGAAATATCAGTCCATGATTGTCATCTACTGTGGGAAGCCTTCTCTGCATGTTAGAATGTAGAGTTCGTGTCCTTCTTAGGTCTCTATGTTAAGTTGCATCCTAAACTTAGCATGCTGCACCATAATCAACTGTTTGTGTATTTGCATTCCTCTACAAGATTGGGAGCTACTTAAGAGCTGGTAATGTGTCCTTTGCCTTAATCTTTAGAATATTAACAGAGTCAGTCACATAGTAGGTGTCCAAATGTTCTGTGAATAAATTAAAGAACACTTCATTGCTCAACCTACTACTTTCTGCTAATATCTCCATGACTCTTTACTTCAACATCTGTCTGCTTCCAGCCCTCCTAATTTGGACAGACTGTTTGAATTCCGTTCCCAGTCAGCTTCCTCAGTAAAGGGGAAGGGTTTTTGTTGCCCCTTGTCGTGGTCTCAGTCTTTCAAATAAATATCCTATTGAGCTCCTCCTGCTCCTGGCCAACCCCAACACAGGCCAGCCTGATGCCATCAAATCCAAACCAGTGCCTTCTTTACGGAAAGAGGATTCACATCTTGGCAACCTTGATGTTGTGACTACTGTTTTAGCAAGTTGGTCCCTGATAGATCAACTGTCCTATGAGTGAGAAGTTAATGGTGGGAAAGATCAATTCACTGGGCCCTCTCTTCACATGCTTACTGTGTGTTTGTGTGTGTGTGTGTGTATAAAATGTTACATATGCTATATGTATATTGTCATATATATATATCATTTTCAGCCCCTCTTTTATTTCTCTGGATGTATATATATCCAGATAGGAGAGGCCAGCACCCAAGCACTTTGCCTCCCTAGAGGCCATTAAAGGCTCTTAAGTGGTCAGCTGAAATTTTTGATAGCCCTTTATCCAAATGACACCTTCTGGAAAGCAAACCTTTACCTGTAGCAGCTCTACCTAGGTCAGGCACAGGTCTGGAAAGCCTAAGGGACTGCTCTACCTATGTTTGATGCATATTACCCTAGGTAACACCACTGTAATGCACCTTAATTCAGCCTTGTCTGCTTCCTTCCAATACCTCAATGACATATAAGTGCCAAATGTTAATACTTAGTAGGGCAGAACCCATCTTCCTACTAAGGGGGAGAAATTCAGACCAGTTGAGAAAATAAGCCATCTAAGTGGTAGGCAAAAAATCAGGATAGTGGTATCCTTGGAGTTAATCACGTGAGCATTTTAAAAAGAAATTGAATGGTCAATAATAATAACAACATAAAAGAAGAATAAAAAGAATTAAAAGTGTCCATTTGATATGGCAGCCATGAAGCTATTGGGAACCTTAGTAAGAAAAGTAAAGATAAAGTGGAGAGGATAGAAGGCAAAATTCAGAGGGTTAAAAAATTAATTGGAAATCAGAACATGGACATGGCAAGGAAAAACTACTCTTTCAAAGAGTTTTACTGAGGTGGGAAGGAGTTTAGGAGAGCTCACTAAAAGAAGGAGCTTTTTTACTATTGTCTTTTCATTTTTAAGAGAGTAATGAACTAGACATTTTCAAAGACTGAAGGGAAGAAGTGAAGATATAGGCAGGATGGGGCAGTTAATGGAGAAGATTATTACAACAGATTAGCAGGAACATGTTAAGTGTCCAAGTGTGAAGACCAGTTCAGCATGAAGAGTATTTGGTATATAGCTCCTTTATGAACGTAAGAAAACGATCTGAATAGATTCAGGAAAACTAACAGGTAAAAAACAGGAAGTTGATGAGTTCAACATCTAACAGCCTCTGTTTTCTCTTTGAAGGATAGGGGAGGTCATCTTCTGAGAGGGATGGGGACGAGAACAAGGCAGAGCATCGTGAAGGGAATGAGGAAGATTTAGAATGAAAGAGGAAAATGACCAAGCGTCAAGATTCAGATTTTTCATTTACCTTCTTCCCTAGACACATGAGCATAATTTAGCATTACTATCCTTAATTTTACATTAGGAAAACTTCCAGGTAACTGTAAGTAGAACAAAATATTATGTTAAATTTCGATGTTTGAATTATAGTTGGAAGAAACAAAAGACAACTCAACTTCTATCTGGAGGTACCTGCCTAATACTAATCCAGGTTTAGATCTTCCAGAGTTCATTTTTTAATGTTTTATTTTATTTCAATAGGTTTTTGGGGAACAGGTAATTTTTTGTTACATGGGTAAGTTCCTTAGTGATAATTTCTGAGATTTTGGTACACCCGTCACCTGAACAGTGTACATTGTATCCAATGTGTAGTCTTTTATCCCTCACCCCTCTTCCATCCTTCACCCCAAGTCCTCAAAGCCCATCATATCATTCTTATGCCTTTGCATCCTCATAGCTTAGCTGCCACTTATAAGTGAGAACATAGGATATTTGGTTTTCCATTCCTGAGCTATTGCTCTTAGAGTAATGGTCTCCAACTCCATCCAGGTTGCTGAGAATGCCATTATTTCATTCCTTGTTATGGCTGAGTAATATTCCATGACGTATATATACCACATTTTCTTTATCTACTCACTGGGTAATGGGCATTTAGGCTGGTTCCATATTTTTGCAGTTGCAAATTCTGCTGCTATAAACATGTGTGTGCAACTGTCTTTTTCATATAATGACTTCTTTTCCTCTGGGTAGATACCAAGTAGTGGGATTGCTGGATCAAATAGCAATTCTACTTTCAGTTTTTTAGGGAATCTCCATATGTCTTCCATAGTGGTTGCACTGGTTTACGTGTCACTAGCAGTGTAAGCATGTTCCCTTTTCACTACATCAGTATCTATTTTTTTTTTTTTAAACTGTGGCCATTCTTGCAGGGGTAAGGTGGTGTCTCATTGTGGTTTTACTTTGCGTTCCCCTCATGATTAGGGACGTAAAGCATTTTTATTAACTATCATAAATATCAGCATTTTTAAACCCAAAGAAGTCTTGAAAATGCGGGGATGGCCCTGCTGCCATGGATAAAATTCTAGAATCCTTACATTTGGTACTTGTGGTCAGGAGTCGAACGTGTCTTTTTCCATCCATCTGTTCCTTTCTTTCAAACTATCTGGAGTCCCCAGAGTCTTGAGCTCTTTGGAAAGTTAGTATTTACTGATGAGGCTGCTTTTCCTCCCCTGCATTGAGGGTTCGTGGTGTACTCACATGAAGCAATGAACTCCCTCAAGTAGTTTACCACGAAAGCATCACAGTTAAATTAGACTGAGATTTTAGTGACCTTTCCTATTTTTTTCTTGTCTGACAGAATAAAGGTCTAAGAATGTTCAGAAGATGAGCTGGATATGGATGAAAAGATACAGGCTGAGTGTGTCAAAGTTTCCATTAGGAAAACAGAAGGTTTCTTGCCAAATAGAAACACACAGAAAGAATGTTCACTGCATTTTCACCCCTCCCCTCTCACTGCTGCCTCAGACTATTGCCAACTGCATTTACAAACTCTTTAAGAGTGGATCTGAAACAATATCCCAAAACTAGAGGAAGAGTCAAAAGTGTTCCAGATAAAGCACTTTGTCAGAATCAAGGGTTTGAGATTCATCTCAAATGTCTTCCACTGGCTTTGGTCCACCTGGCCTCAACTCCAATCTCTCCATCACACAGTCCTCTAGGGAGAAGAACCTGTCTCAAGCCCCGGAACATGTGGCGCTTTCTCATTTCTGTGCCTTTGCTCATATTGTTCCTGCCACTTAGAATGCCTTGTTCACCAAAAACATTCCACTTATCCCTTAAAAACCTCACTCAGACTATCTTCCTTGTCTTTTGTGACACGTTGCTTAACGCTTCCTCTCTCTCCACCCTTCACTCCATTTCCTACTGTGCTGATCCTCTGATTGGTGCAAATCATGCCCTTCCTTTATGTTCATGTAGCATTTTGTGCATAAGCTCCTTATAGCTAGATAGTGTGTTGCACCATTTTTACTTGTTAATGCTGTGTTTCCTCCCTTCACTAGACAGTTGACCCTTCAAGGGAGTAGGTCATATCTTGTTCTTATGTCCTCAGTGTCTAGCATAATGTCTTGCTTAGAGTGGATGATTGCTAAATGCTCCTGAATGAATGGATGAAAATCTACCAAACGTGTACCTAGCAAGTACAAAAAAGAATGAGCCAAGATGGGTGGATCACCTGACGTCAGGAGTTCAAGACCATCCTGGCCAACATGGTGAAACCCTGTCTCTACTAAAAATACAAAAATTAGCTGGATATGGTGGCATGTGCCTGTAGTTCCAGCTACTCGGGAGGCTGAAGCAGGAGAATCGCTTGAACCTAGGAGGCGGAGGTTGCAGTGAGCTGAGATCTCACCACTGCACTCCGCCCTGGGCGACAGAGATTGTCAAAAAAAAAAAAAAAGAAGAAGAAGAAAAAAATAAGCTTTACGTGTGTGTATAGAGAGAGATGATAGATACATAGATACATAGATAGATAGATAGATAGATAGATAGATAGATAGATAGATAGATAGATAATCTTTATGGTTCATGTTCATTGTCTCAGTAAATCCTACAACCCTTTGAACGTCCCCCTCACCATTTAATTATTCTCTATATTCATCGCTAAAAGGGTCAGCTGGAGGGTAAGGTTGGACTGCTTAGTCCCACAGCAGAGTAGCCATTCAGGCCAGGTCCTCCTGTGCATGGCAGCATGGCATTTGGGTCATGGATACTCAACTCAAAGTGAGGTAATTATTTGGCTGTGATTGCTGAGTTATCTGATTATTGTAGATTAGAGCTTACTGTCCGACTGAATTATCTGTCTTTTTTGACATATTGGAATGATCAGATTGACTGGATAGATATCAAGCGTCTGCTTTATATTGGCCTGTATGGATTACTTCAGTGGGCCAAATGGACACCCCACCCAGGATTTCTTCATTTTTTGACATGTGATGATTTATTATAAATTTTTACAATTTTACTTAAAAATTGGGGAGATGAGTGGAGGAAGTCTTTTATCAAGAAGGAATCACTGCCATTCTGTCAAATGAAGTTTGGTTATTTCTTGCAAACATAACCCATAGATGGGAGGTCTCTATAAGACAAGCCATGACTGCAGAGAGTGAATAAATCACATTTTGATTTGGTATTTTCCCCAGCTTCAAACCAGTTATTTTTATTATATTATCCAACCTTCCAATGTTCCTGTTATTCAGGGAAAATAATTGAGAAATAAAAAGAGACTGCTGTTGTGATTTAGAGAAGATTTTTTTCTACCACGTAGCATGAATTTCTTTGAGATGTTGGCTCAGATGTTTAAACAGATAGGGCTTTTAGTAACCGTTTCATTTATAAAATAGGTTACACAGAACTTGGTGTGATTTTATTGAGCATCAAGAATTAACTTAATTTGTTGAAGATCAATATCCAAACGATATATATCATAGAACCCTAAAAGTACACAGACCAAATTCCTTTTATGCAATGACCATCCTTACAAATACTTTAGAATTTGGGGGTGTAGAACATTTGCCATCATCTCTAGTGTCCCCCATCCTCTACTTTTTGCCATCCCAGTTTTTTTTTCTTTGGTTCGCAGAAATATTAGGAAAAAAGATAATTTTAAAAGTATATTTTTGCCAATTGCAAATGTATAGTATTCTGTCTTCCCTGGTTCTGATCCAGCACCTCCCACCCACTCTAACTCTGTTGTTTGGAAAAGTAAAATAAATGCCACAAAATGTTGGTAGAGTTGCATTTCTACACAATTTATCTTGGTTTTTGTAAGGCCCTTTTAATGTAGTAGGCTATGCCTTGTTCTCATGGCTACATTAATTATGTGAAAATTTATGAAATGATCTTTAATACAATGTTGTTGTTAGAAGGACTCTTTTTCCTAGTAAGGGTATAAGAAAGGAAATAAACACTTGACCACACCATCTCTACTAAGAATGCAAAGAGCAGTAGCAGCTGGTCTTTATTTTAAAGTAGAAATCTATTTACTGATCATTCCATGCCATCAGTTTGTCACTATGTTGAGTAAATAGTGTAGTAGTAAGTGTGACTGTTTTTATGACCTCTCCTGTTGTGTGGCTAACACTGTATTTTTGTTTTCTGCAGGCATGAAACCAGATTTAAACAACGTATGCTGGAACTGACGGACACAAACAACATTGCCTACTTATTCCTCTCAGCTGCCAACAGATGGCTGGAGGTCAGGACGGTACGTTCATTTCACGATTTCGAAATGGAAACCAAATAGAGAAGACGCCTGCTGCAAAGAGGCAGACAGTTGTAAAAATTAGCCTTCCACTGAGATTCAGCACTAGCTTCACATTTTCTGAACTTTAAAATAGCTCAGGTTTGTTTATGTTACAGATGAAGTTTGTCATAATGTTTTAGCTAATGACAAGACAAATAGCCCAAAAAGCAAAATTTCATTTTGTGTTCATTAGTCTCTAGATCACATAAGTTAATGGAATGGCAAATATTTGTATAACTTCATTTTTTTTTTTCCAAAAGAGTGCATTTGGCAAGTGAACAGATGTACTCATTTCCTTTACCGAGTTGGTCCTGCCTGGAAGGATGGCAACTTTCTACGTTTTAAGCCAGTGGAGGGTCATGTTAGTACAAAATGTAGAAAACTACAGTTAATCATTTGTTGCCTTCTGTCTTGAATAATGTAGAAGAACAAGCACAAGCTTTGGCATCACACAGACTTGGTCTAGCAAGTTAATTTTAGTCCCAGTTCCTCATCTATAAAGTAAGAATGTGTACCTTGTATGGGCATTGGATTAAAAGTAACATAAATCCCCTACTACACTGATTGGCAACTGCATTCAAGAAATGTCTTTTGAATGCATGCATGAATGAATAATGACTGGTACCTGCCCTGGTAGGGGGTTCATAAGCCAATGAGCTGGAGTATCAAGTAGGAGAGATGAGAAAGACATTCCAGAAGGCAAGGAGTATAGTTTGTAGTCTGTGCAGTCCGGAACATGGATAAGCTACTTTGGTGGTAATGGTGAGTTGAGTGTAATTTTTTTAATAGGTATTTGCCAGTTTTGAAAAGAAAAAGCATGTTTATCTGTACTATTGGGAGAATCTTATTTCCACTAATTGCATTTCAGTAATATATAGGCTTTCTTTCAAAACACAACAGAAAAGAGAAGGAAGATGGTAAAGGGAATCTAATAGGGTAGAAATGAAGGAGCCCAAGTTAAAATCTGAGTAGTTGATTGATGGATACAGATTAACCTAGAATCTTAGACATCCTTGTGAGCTTTTGTTATCATGATTTCTCACAGGTTTATAGAGATTCTCTACAACTATATTAGTCATTATGTAGAAATTATTCAACAGCACTGCATAGTTATTTTTCACAAAGTTTTGATAGAAGTATTGTTTGCTGATAAATTCCCTCAAGGTAGCTGTGACCGTTGGAAGAAGGCGGGGCAGAGTTTCTTGGGAATTACATACAGATAAATAAAGTCAAGTGAAGTGTTACTTAGGATTTATCACAAAACCAAAACATTATTCCCAAACCCTATCCAAACCATAATTCCATAATTCCTTGTTTTAATTCCTTGTTTTGATATGTGAGTGTCTGTGTGTGTAATTTCTGTTGTTCTATAAGGAAAAAAAATCATATATTAATAATATAATTACTGATGAAATAGCTTACTGAAAGAATATCCTGAAATCATAAGGGAGAAATGTTAGCAGTTACCTTTGTATCTGGTTTTCCTGAACTTGAAGATCAAGTATGTCTTTTAGGGGCAAGCATATTTGCCTTGGACTTGAGGTGAGAGTCTGACCGACTCCTGTTTCTACTCTTTAGCACTTCCTGCTGTCAGGTTAGTGGATAAGTGTTGAACAAGAATCTTCAAGCAAACCATATGCTCTGTTCTCATAGCCAGAAGACAAGATATTAGAGCCTTAACACTGCCAAGAAAGGGAAGGTCAGGAAAAATTAGAAAGGAACAGCAGCCAAACTCAGAATGGTTTTGTTTAGTTTGATTCATAACCCAATATTTTAACCCCCATGTGAAAAAGCAGTTGAACCTGCCTAAATATAATAGAATCTATATCTTGAATTCCACCTGCAAAAAACAAAATACTGACACTTGAAACAGGAAGGGCAGAACAGGCCATTCATTTGGTTACTTTGTAATACGTTTGTTACTCTTTGCTTTCTGTGTATTAGAATCCTTCCAAGATTTGCAATCTAGTCTTATTACTAGAACTCTCCCTTAAAAATTAATACAAAAGACTAAGGAGTATTTTATTTTCATTTCTGGTGGGCAAAGATATATTTTGGCAAGAAACATTTGTTGATTTATTGCAAAGTTCCAGGCATATCTGCCGACAGAAGTCAAGGTTCAAGGTCCTTTGGGTATGATTTGCCTCCATCCATTGTATTTATATGTCAGTAACTTTATGTGGATAAACACTTGTACACACGCACACATACACACTCCTCTAGACAATCTCAGAGATCCACTGTGAGACCAGTCAGATTCACTGTCGCTCTGCTCTTCTGAGTGAACTGAGAGTTTTTATTGGAACCAGGTGTATTTAAATATAAATACTATAATCCAAGAACATATGCCACAGTAGGAGTGTTAAATAAGGTAGATGACTTCTCCTGGGGAATAACCTTTTCTCTCAATTGTGCACATATAAATGACCTCATTACTACTGTGTTTCTGTGGGCATATCCACATCACTGGAGACAGAATTTTAGTTTGAAATAACTGGATCTTGTGTGAGAAAAATGAAGTTGAGCTACAGGACCTCGGAGACTAGGGTGTGAACTGTTCTCTACACCCCACAGCTGGATATATTCTGCCTCATAAGTCACTTTTTTAAAAAAGTAATAAAAATTTCTATTTGGCCCAGTACATCTGCATTGATCTTATCTGTGGTATGGACACAACCCCCTCTTTGTCATATTACTCAGTAAGTTCACATAAATATCTGCTTCTAGCAAACATTCTTAGAGTTCCCAGAGCAGGAACGCAACCAAAATGGTACAAAGAAGGTCACTTCATTGGGCATAAATTAGAAGAGGCAAGCAGGATTTCTTCACACAGATTTCACCAACTCTAATTCGTGGACTCAGAGCCATAATGGAAACGGGAGAAAACATGATATCATTGCTTTCTGTGGCTATGTTTCCCCTCCCTTCCTCTTCATACCCAGTTTTAACTTTCCAAAGCCATGTCACTGCTGTTGACAGAAAATCTCAAGAAAGAAGAGAGAGAAACCAGAGTAGAAACACCTTTTGTTGAATTCGGGAAGTTCCCTGAACCTCATCCAATTTTTGCTTATATATATATATTTTTTTAAATTATACTTTAAGTTCTGGGATACATACGCAGAACCTGTGCATTTGTTACATAGGTATACACATGCCGTGGTGGTTTGCTGCACTCATCAACCTGTGATCCACATTAGGCATTTCTCCTAATGCTATCACTCCCCTAGCCCCCAACACCCTGACAGACCCCAGTGTATGATGTTCCCCTCCCTGTGTCCATGTGTTCTCATTGTCCAACTCTCACTTATGAGTGAGAACATGTAGTGTTTGGTTTTCTGTTCCTGTGTTAGTTTGCTGAGAATGATGGTTTCCAGCTTCATCCATGTCCCTACAAAGGACACGAACTCATCCTTTTTTATGGTTGCATAGTATTCCATAGTGTATATGTGCCATATTTTCTTTATCCAGTATATCATTGATGGGCATTTGGGTTGGTTCCAAGTCTCTGCTATTGTGAACAGTGCTGCAATAAACGTATGTGTGCATGTATCTTTATAGTAGAATGATTTATAATCCTTTGGATATATACCCAGTAATGGGATTGCTGGGTCAAATGGTATTTCTGGTTCCAGATCCTTGAGGAATGGCCACACTGTCTTCCACAATGGTTGAACAAATTTACCCTCCCACCAACAGTGTAAAAGCGTTCCTATTTCTCCACATCCTCTCCAGCATCTGTTGTTTCCTGACTTTTTAACGATCGCCATTATAACTGGTATAAGATGGTATCTCATTGTGGTTTTGATTTGCATTTCTGTAATGACCAGTGATGATGAGCTTTTTTTCATATGTTGAGATAGAGACACGAAAAACCCTTCAAAAAAATCAATGAATCCAGGAGCTGGTTTTTTGAAAAGATCAACAAAATAGATAGACTGCTAACCAGACTAATAAAGAAGAAAAGAGAGAAGAATCAAATAGATACAATAAAAAATGATAAAGGGGATATCACCACTAATCCCACATAAATACAAACTACCATCAGAAAATGCAATAAACACCTCTACGCAAATAAACTAGAAAATCTAGAAGAAATGAATAAATTTCTGGACACATACACCCTCCCAAGACTAAACCAGGAAGAAGTCAAATCCCTGGATAGGCCAATAAAAAGTTCTGAAATTGAGGCAATAATTAATAGCCTACCAACCAAAAAAAGCCCAGGACCATACAGATTCACAGTCGAATTCTACTGGAGGTACAAAGAGGAGCTTGTATCATTCCTTCTGAAACTATTGCAAACAATAGAAAAAGAGGGACTCCTCCCTAACTCATGTTATGAGGCCAACATCATCCTGATACCAAAACCTGGTAGAGACACAACAAAAATGGAAAATTCCAGGCCAATATCCCTGATGAACATCATTGCAAAAATCCTCCATAAAACACTGGCAAACCGAATCCAGCAGCACATCAAAAAGCTTATCCACCACAATCAAGTCGGCTTCATCTCTGGGATGCAAGGCTGGTTCAACATATGCAAATCAATAAACATAATCCATCACATCAACAGAACCAATGACTAAAACCACATGATTGTCTCAATAGATGCAGAAAAGGCCTTCGATAAAATTCAACACCCCTTCATGCTAAAAACTTCAATAAACTAGATATTGATGGAATGTATCTCAAAATAATTGTTTATGTTTTTTTAATACTATAGAGCTCTCTTTTCTTTTCCCAGTCATGTTAAGTAAGAGTTAAGACAATCATGATTTATCCTCTTTGCGCACACAGTTTTCCCTATGGAAGATCTAGCCTTGCCCACCGTATTCATTTCATATTCGTTTTGAATTGGGAAAAAAAAAATAAAGACCATAACACACTCAAATCATAAAAGGACAAGAGACTAAAAGAATAAAATAATTTGGCTGGTAGATAATTTGGCTGGTAGAAAGCGG